TGAGTTTTCAACCTGTAGACCCAGTTATTCTTTAGAACTCTCTTGCCCTTAGGCAGTTTCATTAGCTCATAAGTGTGATTTTCATGCAGGAACACCATCTCCTCTTGCATGACTCGCAACCAATCTTCTTTATTCTCATGCTCTAGAGCCTCATAGTAGGACTCTGGCTCTCTTCCATCTATCAATAACACATATTCATAAGGATTATATCTGCTAGAAGGTCTCCTCTCTCTGATAGATCTCCTAAACTCATCCTGTGGTGGCAGTGGTGGAGTAGGTGGCGTCTCGTGTTCAGGTTCATCAGTAGTAGGATTATTGCTATCATCAATATTCTCTCTCTGCTTTATCTCAACTCCCTCTTAATTAAAATCAATAGGTATTGAAACTGGATCTGGATCTGAATTTGAACCAACAGGAATGTCATCTGAACATTTTGGATTGTCACTTTTATCAATGTCTTCAAAGAAGATAATATCTCTGCTCCTGATCACCTTCTTATCAATAGGATCATACAACCTATAACTGAAATCTTCATGTTCATGACCCAAAAAAATACACTTCTTTGATTTCACATCAAGTTTTGACCTCTCATCTTTGAGAATATGAACAAATGTCCGGCAATCAAAAACTCTCAGGTACTTAAAGGATATATCTTTTCCCGTCCATACTCTCTTTGGGATGTCACCATCTAGAGGAACTGATGGAAAAAGATTAATCAAATTGACTGCAATCCTCATTGCCGCACCCTAAAAGGATTTTGGCAATTTAGCATTAGAGAGCATACATCTGACCCGTTCAGTGATGGATCTATTCATCCTCTCTGCTACTCCATTCTCTTGAGGAGTTTTTGGCACAATTTTCTCCAATCTGATCCCACGGGACTTGAATAGATTTCAAATTGTTCTCTGTACTCACCACCATTATTAGCACGTATACACTTTAATTGCTTACCAGTTTTTCTTTCAATTTTGCTGTAAAAATCTTTAAACATATCCAAAATCTGATATTTAGATTTCAAAACAAAACACCAAACATTTCTAACAAAGTCATCAATAAAAGTTATAAAATAGACAGCATCACCAAGAGACTTATCTTTCATATAGTAAACATCAGTGTGCACCAATTCTAACAGATTCAATTTTGAGATGGAGAAAAATTTTGAAATGCAACTCTGTATTGTTTCCTATAAATGCAGTCAACACAGGGTTTAAGTGCATTACCTCTAACTTCAGGTAGGAACTGTTTGCGAACAAGTGTCTGAATCCCCTTTTCACCCATATGTCCAAGTTGCCTATGCCAAAGGTCAATTGAGAAATCACGAACTGCATTCATTTCTTCCTTCCTCAACTTGGTTTGCATCACGTAGAGGGTACTATGTTTCTTTCCTCTGGCAACAACGAGATTTCCTTTGATGAGTTTCCATTTGCCTCCACCTTGCAAACTATAGTAACCCTCATCGTCAAATTTTTCTGTAGAAATAAGATTAAGTCAAATATCAGGAACATGTCGAACATTTCTCAATATCAGCTGGCACCTGGTATCTATGTCCAAGTATATGTCTCCCGTGCCAATAACTTTGCATGAGATCTCATTTCTCATCCTAACATATCCAAAATCTCTTTCGGTGTAGGTTGAGAAAAAATGTCTGTGAGGAGTAAAATGGAACTACCCAATCACTGTCATAATAAATGATATTCACTTGACCATCATCACAGAACACAAACATGTCATAATGAGCTGCCACAACTGCTGTAGTGTTCTCATCATCTTTTTCCTTCCCCTTACCCTTTCTCTCAGTCTAATCCCGTTTTAAAATTCTGCATTCCTTCATATAATGTCCATTCTTTTTACAATAATAGCATGCAATATTTTTTCACGACTCAGACCTGTCTCTGGATTTGTCATTCCTGTTATGGGGTTCTTTAATTTTGCTTCTCCCTCTTCTTTCTTTCTTTTCTGTCACCAGGGTCTGGGACTCATAGACAATTTCTTGTTCCTTCCTCCTGAACTCTTCATTCATTATGGCCTCTTTTGCAATAACCATGGTCAACACACCATTGGGAGTTGAATTGCTGACGGAGATCACCATGGTTTCCCAACTATTCGGTAGTGAACTGAATAATAATAAAGTATGTACTTCATCATCCAAATACAAATTTAACGTAGTTGCCTGGTTTATCAATCCCTGAAAATTACTCAGGTGTTCAGTCATATTTTCTCCATCTTTATATCTCATCCGAGTAATCTGTTTCAGATAACTAGCCTTGTTCAAATCGATTTTCCGTTCATACATACTTTCAAGTTTTTTCCATAATACATCAGCTCTGGTGTCATTAGCAAAATATTGAGAAATATTTTGACCAATCCATTTTTTAATATTACCAACAGTTTTCCTATGCATAACAGCCCATTTTTCATCACTCATATCACTTGGTCTACCTTTATCCCCTAGAACAGGTTCAAACAAATCTCTACAATACAGTAGTCTTCCATTCTAGGTTTCCAAATCGAATAATTAGTAGCATTTAATTTTATCCTGCAACCACTATCTGAATCATCTATTTTTAACTAGTACAACTGAGCAACCCAACCTAACTACTCTGATACCACTTGTTGGGAAAGGGGTACTGGTACAGGCACACGATATCAGAGTTAGTTCAGGACAAATTTCTCTTTTTCCAAGTACCAGTTAAAATAGGAATATTACCAATTAATAATACTAGCAGTGATAATAAAATGTAAGAAAAATAAAAAGCATAGGACACCAAAATTTTTACGTAAAAAACCCAAATTGAAAAAAAAAATCACGGAATCTAGTCCAGTCAAAAATCTCCACTATCACAATAATGGGATACACAGATCTACCCGAAGTATTCTAGTGACAACAATATCACCAATACCAACCAAGCCAATTTGCTACAAAATCACCCCCAAAAATTACAACTGTTAAAGAAGTGGGTTTGGAAAGATATTACCAAACGAAAAGGAAATCTGAAATCTGAACTGGTAGCTGAGTAGAGCCTAACGAGAGGATCCCATGAGTAAAATTTCATCTCAATCGGATTCCGAATCACCCTCCAATCAAGATCTTGAAGTTTCTCTCTTTCTAACTCCTTCTCTCTCTTCGTTTATCTCTAAAGTGGCGGTTGTAATTCTTTCACTCAAAAAAATGTGAAGTACTTTCTTGCGGCTGCTTCAATATGTACTGTCACATGAAACCCTCAAGTCTTAGTGACTTGTGTTTTGGGTTGGCCCACAAATGGGCTGGCCCACACAAGTCTAACAATATTGTCCCCTCTAATATTTGTTAATGTCTCTTTCTTATTTACATCGGCCTCCCTTAATAAATTAAAAATTCTTAATTCTTATGGCCCCAAAAATTCTTAATTCTTAATTCATAGGAGTGTTAGATCTAATTAAGTTTAATTTTTTACGTAAATCTAAGAACAAGCACTTTGGATGATTCTAAACTATCAATACATTATAACACAACCTAGACGTCAAAGTAACTGACATAACGGAAAAAAAAAGTAAGTTTAACATAAATGTCTTTTGATTGAGATTTACTATGATCATAATTGAAGTGAAGTCGAAAATTGAATCCCCTAAGCCAAGGGCCTTGGCTCTGCCACTGAAGGGAATGTACGTGCTACCTCTCTATAACAAGGCCCTGCCACTGAAGGGAATGTACGTGCTACCTCTCTATAACTTAGAAAAACGTATGATTATACCCTTTGTTCTTTGGAAACACAAGTATTAGCTAACCAGTGGCGGAGTCAGGATTTTTTTCTTGGGGGAGCCAAAAATTTTTCGAACAAAATTACCTTAATATGTTATGTTCAAAATAATTTTTATTTTATTTAAATATATGATATCTTAAAATATCAAATATTAACTTTAATTATAAAGGTATGTCTATTTTATAAATATGTAACATAGTCATAACTAAAATTAAGACAAAAAATAACCTTTGATTAAATATTTTATAACATCACAAACCACCTAAGTTGCACATTATGAGAAGATGCTCCAATATGTCACTTGTGCAAAAATAAAAATATAATTATCAATATAAATATAACTATTTTCAATTAAAAAAAGATAAAAGTTATGTTAGCATACATTGAAATTTCATCCTTTTTTATTAAAAGTAAATTGAGATTTACGTTCTTTTATAGAATCGAGGACACTAAAGACTCATCATGCTTTTTATATAGTAATAGATTTATCCCATGTAAGTTCAAATAGCAAGTGTCGTCATTAAAGTAGAAAATAGGAAATTAACATGCTAACCACAAATTGAACAATTGGTTCAAGATACAACTGCATCACCTTTATAGTAAAATTATTTGGGCCAGCCCTTGAGCCCTCGATTATATTATGTCCAGAACCCGGGAACCTCGTGATTACTGTAAAACTCAAATACTGCACATGTTGTACCCTGTGATTACTCCACAAGACGTTAAACAGCTAAACCAAAAAAAAAGTTCACGAAATATATATAGAACCAAACTTGCACTCATGTGCTCTTCCAAGCTAAAGCTGAACAAAAGTCCACGAAATATCAAACCAAACTTGCTCGTCATATGCCCTTCCAGGTTGACAAAGGTGGAGTTTCAGAACTTTGCCAAGTGCTGATTTCAGGCCCGTATCTCTCACCCTTGACTCCAGCCGAAGTAATAGATTCGAGTTCTGCCATTTCCTCTGCGGACAGTTTTACAGACAAAGCTCCTATATTCTGATCGAGGTTCTCAATCTTGGTAGTGCCAGGTATGGGGCAAACATCATTGCCTTGGTGATGGACCCAGGCTATATATAGGGGGTTTTCCGGCGGCTTGGGGGGGGCTTAAGCCCCCACCAGCCCCCCCTTAAATCCGTGGCTGTTGCTCGTCATATGCCCTTCCAGGTTGACAAAGGTGGAGTTTCAGAACTTTGCCAAGTGCTGATTTCAGGCCCGTATCTCTCACCCTTGACTCCAGCCGAAGTAATAGATTCGAGTTCTGCCATTTCCTCTGCGGACAGTTTTACAGACAAAGCTCCTATATTCTGATCGAGGTTCTCAATCTTGGTAGTGCCAGGTATGGGGCAAACATCATTGCCTTGGTGATGGACCCAGGCTATATATAGGGGGTTTTCCGGCGGCTTGGGGGGGGCTTAAGCCCCCACCAGCCCCCCCTTAAATCCGTGGCTGTAGCTAACATGAATCAAATTTACTAAAAAAATATATAATGATTCATAAACTTTTTGTAGATGACACATAGATTGCTCTCAGAGTATTAGAAAGCTTCCAAAATACATCTACTGGTAGATATACGATAATTATAAATAGACCTACCTACAAGATCTTACACTTTCAACTCTTGAAAATTCTGACGAAGGCCTTCCAATAGCAGAATTTCCCATCTTCATAAGACGTAATTTCTGACGACTAATTTCTAACAGTTCCAAATTTGTTCTGACTGAAAATAATTTCTCCAAAATAATTTCCAGAATTCCCAGTGTTTGGTTATAATATTTGGACTATTAAAAAGTTTATAATCAGTGAATCATTATCAACCAACCAGTGTATAGACTTCCAGTGTATAACCTGATGAAAACTTTTTACTCAGAAAATCATAATATTAATTAATGTGTTTGGATTGCTGAATTATTTCACATAATATTTTACTTGCATCATAAACACATTTTCCAATTCATCTTTTTATATTACCAACTACCTTTTTATCTTACATACATTACGTCACAAAAAGTACTACAGTAATTATTCCAAATAATATTTCAAATAATACTTTATCCAAACACAGATCAGCAACTAATGCACTATTGGTCTACGTTTGGGCTAACACCTAGCTGACGACCTTTATCCCACTTCATTTCTAAGAAAAAGCAAATAGATAGACTCACAAAAAACTACTTATAGCTAATACTGACCTCTACGGTATATGATGTTGTATCCAGTTCTAAGCCACATGTACATATAGTTTCACTATGTATTTAGAGAAAATACAACAATCCGATTAACTTTTTCCATTAGCTTCTAGCAGCTGGAAATACATTTTCGTTAGATCAAATCACACAACCGGACTACTACAGTTTGCCGCAAAAATGGACATAGATGGCAAATTGAACCTCAGGTTTAACATTTTATGTCAATCGGAAAAGTATTGAGTTCGTTAGTTGAAAAAAAAAAAAAAGTACTGAGTTGGGTGGCAGCCACGGATTTAAGGGGGGGCTGGTGGGGGCTTAAGCCCCCCCCCAAGCCGCCGGAAAACCCCCTATATATAGCCTGGGTCCATCACCAAGGCAATGATGTTTGCCCCATACCTGGCACTACCAAGATTGAGAACCTCGATCAGAATATAGGAGCTTTGTCTGTAAAACTGTCCGCAGAGGAAATGGCAGAACTCGAATCTATTACTTCGGCTGGAGTCAAGGGTGAGAGATACGGGCCTGAAATCAGCACTTGGCAAAGTTCTGAAACTCCACCTTTGTCAACCTGGAAGGGCATATGACGAGCAAGTTTGGTTTGATATTTCGTGGACTTTTGTTCAGCTTTAGCTTGGAAGAGCACATGAGTGCAAGTTTGGTTCTATATATATTTCGTGAACTTTTTTTTTGGTTTAGCTGTTTAACGTCTTGTGGAGTAATCACAGGGTACAACATGTGCAGTATTTGAGTTTTACAGTAATCACGAGGTTCCCGGGTTCTGGACATAATATAATCGAGGGCTCAAGGGCTGGCCCAAATAATTTTACTATAAAGGTGATGCAGTTGTATCTTGAACCAATTGTTCAATTTGTGGTTAGCATGTTAATTTCCTATTTTCTACTTTAATGACGACACTTGCTATTTGAACTTACATGGGATAAATCTATTACTATATAAAAAGCATGATGAGTCTTTAGTGTCCTCGATTCTATAAAAGAACGTAAATCTCAATTTACTTTTAATAAAAAAGGATGAAATTTCAATGTATGCTAACATAACTTTTATCTTTTTTTAATTGAAAATAGTTATATTTATATTGATAATTATATTTTTATTTTTGCACAAGTGACATATTGGAGCATCTTCTCATAATGTGCAACTTAGGTGGTTTGTGATGTTATAAGATATTTAATCAAAGGTTATTTTTTGTCTTAATTTTAGTTATGACTATGTTACATATTTATAAAATAGACATACCTTTATAATTAAAGTTAATATTTGATATTTTAAGATATCATATATTTAAATAAAATAAAAATTATTTTGAACATAACATATTAAGGTAATTTTGTTCGAAAAAATTTTGGCCCCCCCAAGAAAAAAATCCTGACTCCGCCACTGTTGGGTGGAATTCTGAAAGTAGTCTGGATGGCAAAGTGCCTTTTGTTCCAGCAAAAAGGGAGAAATAATGTATACTTCTACAATTATAATAATAGCCAGAATTAATCCGTCGACCAGCAATTTTTTCAACACATAGTCAATGATCATATTAAAATCTTTGGACATATTCATATCACAGTTTAGGCTAGACCTTATGAACCATTCTTTTGGAAATATTTTTGCTTCCCAATTGTCAAATGTTCGGCACGAACTTGCAAGTGCAGGACGGCTTGTATTGCCATATATCTAATAGCAAAGTTAAACAACCATCGAAATGAATTTTCAGGTAACATGGCTATAAAAACTTGAAAGCTCTCCCCATCCCTGCAGGTGACAAAGAAAAGTGAACAAATTGCTTAAGTTAGGTTCGAGTTTAATTTAAGGAAAGTAAGAAATATGTTAATGGGCAGAATTATTGATATTTAAGGAGGTAACTAGACATATGTTGGTCCAATCTTGGTCTGTGTATGTAAACTATTAGAAATAGAAAAAAAAAAAAAGTCCCTATTCGATATTTTGATGCATGGAAAGTGAAGTTATAACGGGATATCGAAGCAAGCAAACATTCGTGAGTTGACAATGGGGAGTAGCTTCTTCTTCGGCTTTTTACCTCACATGAGCATAAAAATTTGAATTTATAATTTTAAAAAACAATGTGGTTTTTTTTCCTTGGATGATTAAAATAAAGGGTTTCATTTGATCTTCAAGAAGAAAATTTTGCAGTTGTAGTTTTAGGGTATTCATCGGTAGATTATAGGGTAATTTGGTTGGAGTTTGGTTTACATTCGGTTGTTTTAGAAAAGAAATGTATCCGATAGAAAACCATATTACACTCTGGTCAGCAAAATAATAATTAATATTGGGATAATTTCAAAAGCAGCCGCTAAGGTTGATGACAATTATAGCTAGCTCCTTCCACATTTTAAAAAAGGAGTGAGGTTAGAAGAAGGGCAAGAAAATCATTTACAAATTTAACCAGACTACCAGAATTTGCTGGACAAATGGAAATAGATGAACAAGTAAGACTCAAGATTTTATTTTTTTTTTTTTTTTGAGAATTGGATGATATTGTCAAATTTCAAAATTAAATAAATAGTTTTTTCCTGTGCACACAAGAATTTCATTAGTGAATAATTCTTCAAGAAGATTGCATTTGGGAGAGATTTAATTCGTGGGACAGCAATACATCAACAAATGCTCAATGATCATATTAAATCTTTACATACATTCAGGTACTTCATAGCTGAGGCCAGGCTTTTTACCAGAAAATCAAGACTTTATTTGCAGCTTTCTTAACTCTTTAAGTCCCAATTTTCAAATATGTTTGGTGCATAGTTTAGTACTTGCCTAACACAACACGGCTAATTTAAGAGTCTAATGTACAAATTCGATCAACTTCTTCACCAAACATGTCTATAAAATCTGAAGAGCAGTCCTCATTCCTCAAGCTGAACTAAAGTTTAGCAGCATCTGTAATTGTTGGTAGAACATAGTCTATGGATTTCCTTCACTAATTTCGAGCTATGGCAAGCCACAGGGCATTGCTGTTTTATCTGCTATTTGCACTCTTCTCCATGCTGTCTATGACTGCCAATGCTTGTGTTTGGGCGTACATACCTCTCCTCGGTATCTTCTGCGCACCACCACCACCAGTACCACTTTCATTTTTCAGTCCGCCGCCGCCGCTGCCGCTGCAGCCAACGGGCCCTCCTCCACCAAGAAAGATCCTTCATTAACCCCCCAGTTTGCCTTGATTAATTATTCTCCTGCTCCACCTTATACGAGTGCACACACACTATACTAAATATAGAATAACATGATGAAGAAAGTTGTAAAAGTTCCAAAGAATGGGCAAATCGTCAATTTAATCCCTAAATATTTTTACTTAAATCAATTTCATCCTTTATGATTTTTTTTCACCAATTTAATCCTCAAACAATTTTATCAAATTCAATGTAGGACTAAATTCAATATAGGACTTATTGGGCAGGGCAACCACATTTTATGTATTTCACATGGCAAGATAAGGGTATAATTGGAATGACAAGTTCGACTGTCTAATTATAGGGATTATAAGCGAGACTTTTAGATGATTAAAGACAAAATCCTCTTAAAATTGAGATTTCCCAAATTTAGAGAGGCAATTTGGAGAGATTTCCTCCGGCTATCCTGTTTCTAAAACCATTAGCCTCTGCAAAACTCCAATCCAAACTCAAGCAACAATGGCTTCAAGCCCAACCAAACTAGTTCGCAAATCTCCCTTGCTGTATCGTTTTGTACAGTTTTCTCCCAAACCCACTTCACATTTCAGGAGGGCCCCCAAAATTCCACCTTTCTCCACTTCTATAAGCAGTAGGGGCTTCAGCTTTAGAAGCTGCTATCACTCAATTTCTTTAACCTCGACTCCTGTGTATAAAGAATTGGGTCACTCTAAAATTGGTTTTAGACAACTGGGTTCTGATCATTTTCGCCTCTTTGCTGTATCTGATGGTGGCTCCGGCGGGGGAGGTAGTGGGAATAGTGGTTCAGGTGGCGGAAATTCTGGTGACGGTGGTAGTGGTGCTGCCACCATGGATCACAAAAATTCAGGATCAAAACCAGAGAACTAGAAATGAAAGTGGTTACAAGCTTGATTGGCATCGCGACTAGATCACCAAAGTATTGATTTCCCGAGCGGAGTAGGAATCACCCTTCCGGGCATCGGAGTTGAGCAGTAAGGCGGTGGCCTCCTTGACCAGCCCAGCAAAAGCGTTGCCCAAGTTGTCGCTTCTGGATGCTGCTTCTAAAAGCGTCAGATCGTAGCGTCAGATCGTACCTGAATCTCTCAAAGGCCCTGGAACCAAATACATTTGATACAGTAGACATCTGGGGAACCATTTTCGGCCACGACTCTGCTCTGCTGCTCCATAAGGATCCAAAATATTACCTTGGTCGGGTTTCTCTTTAGTGCTCTTCTCTCTTAATTTTCAGAGGTTTTTGTTTTTAATCATCTAAAAGTCTCGGTTATAATCCCTATAATTAGACAGTCGAACTTGTCATTCCAATTATACCCTTGCCCCGCCATATGAAATATATAAAATGTGGTGGCATCGTCCAATAAGTTCTACATTAAATCTGATAAAATTATTTGAAAACCAAATTGGTGAAAAATAATCATAAAGAACGAAATTGATTTAAGTGAAATTGTTTAGGGATTAAATTGGCGATTTGCCCTCAAGGGTCCACCGGATTACACCTAGCAAAAAGGGGTATTTTGTTTTGATTCGTCCTGTAATTACATATGAGAAAAGAGACTGTCTAAATTTAGCAATACTTCCCCCCCCCCCCCCCCCCATTGTTGCAGGAACGAGACAATATTCGACTTCAGGTTGTCAATTATATCCTTTATGGAAACGGCAAACCAATATGAGAAATTTCTGATACAAGTATTCAATTAGTTCGGACTTGTTTAGTATTGAATTGGGACCAAGACAAAAAAAGTTCTTCTAGCGAAGAAGCCAAAGAATAGCCATGGGCTGACTTTCCAGCTTTGAAGCAAGATATTGCAAAATATGTACTTTATTTAAATTCAAAAGAGTTAGTTTAACTACTAATTCATACACAGCAATCTTATACTCCCTTCATGTAATATTGAACAAAATTTGTGTTGTCTCTTAATGATATTTGAGATTTATGCATGGTAACTTTCAAAGAGAGTACAGGTAACTACTGTTATTTTCTATCCAATTACTATACATGTTACAGTTTTTGACGTACAACCTCGTTAATTGTTGAACTAAATATATGTGTGAAATATTTTATTTATATAACAAAATTGTTCTTAAATATAATAACGTAACATAATCGTACCCCAAAAAACATAGTTCGTTTGGATTCCTTGTTTTTGCACCTGTTTTTGAAAAACTGTTTTTCACATTCCAAATGCTACAGTAAATGTGTATTTCAAAAACAATTCCAAAAACACCCATATCCAAACATTATATCAAAAACAACTCCAAATATACAAATTTAATATGTATATTTCAATTTATAATAATATAATATAAATTGAAATATATAAATTGAAATATGTAAATTGAATATGTAAATTGAAATATACAAATTGAAAATTATATATTTATATGTTATATATGTTATATATTATATATTATATAAATATTTACATACTTTAATATTATACATAATATAATATAATATACATAGTATGTAATATTGTATACATAAATGTATAAATATTTATACATAATATATTTTGTACATTATATTATAATATATACATTATTAATGTACTTTCATTATTATGTACATTATTGTGTATAATAATGTATAATAAAGTTATGTATAATATATAATATACATAATATGTAATAATGTATAAATGTATATTATGTATATTATATATATACAATATTATGTATATTATACAAATTGCAAAATTTTATATTATATATTTATATATTATATAAATATTTATATAATGAAATATACAATAAATATTACAAATTGAAATATTATATAAACACCATATTTATTAATATTCAAATATTTATAATTAATATTAATGTATATTATATATATTAAATATTTATAAATAATGTATTTATATATTTATTTATTCATATTATATATAATTTATTTATTCATAATATATATAATTTATTTATTTAATATATATTTTTATATATTTATACAAAAAATATATATTATAAAATTATATATAATATAATATAATATATATTATATAGATTATACATTTATATAAATGTACATTTATACATAATATATATATTTATGTATATTTATAATTTACATTTATATTATGTATTTTGATACATTTATATTAATATACATAGTATTAATTTTACATTTATACATAATATTAATACATTTATATATTTATATTAATTATATTAATACATTTATACATAATATTAATATATATTTATGATATGTTAATTTATACATTTATATAATATTCATTTATAATTTATATATTTATAATAATATACACTTATACATTTCTAAATATATTTATATTATGTATTACATATAATATAATACATTTATATATTTTTATATAAATATATAAAAATATTTATTTATAAATATTTATAAATGTATTATAAATGCATAAATATATATTTATATAAAATATAAAATTTATAATTTTTACATTTATATAATATTCATTTATAATTTATACATTTATAATAATATACATTTATAAATATATTTATATTATGTATTATGTATAATATAATACATTTATAATATATTGATATATTTTTATATAAATATATAAATATATTTATTTATAAATATTTATAAATGTATTATAAATGCATAAATGTATATAAATATAAAAATATATAAATTATAAATTATAAAATACTCAAAAATATGTTTTAAAAATACCTCTAAAAATAATTCAAAAAACATCTACAGTAAAAGTTTTTCATATAGTTTTTGAAAAACAACCCCAAAAACAACTAATCCAAACGGACTTGTATTTCAAAAACGAAATGCTACAGTATTGTTTTTGAAAAACAACCCCAAAAACAGCTAATCCAAACGGACCCATAATAATTGCACAAAATGGGATAAAATTTTACTTGATTTTGGTATGTTTTCTGACGAATTTTTATGTCTTACATTTTGGACCTCCATAGAGCACCTCCCATCGAAGCCTGGCAAGAAGAGGCCCGCCCAAAACTAGCATGTGTAAATTTGGGTGTGGGATGTTTTGGGTCTGGGTATTCCAAAAGCAGACTACGTCATGACTGAACGTGGATTGCTCGCAGGTGATCCTGGCCCATGGTACCCATAATGAGTTTGTTACCATTTTTGTTTTTTATTTTTAGACCCCAGTTATTTTCTACATTTACACTTGAAAAGATTGTTTTGTGAAAATGTTCGCTTGAGTGTATGAAAGTGCTCAGAATTACCCCTGAATGCATTAATTGGGCTCCCACTAGTTTTCACAATTAACCCAATCCTACTGTGAGTCAATTTTAACTTGGTAGAAATATTTTACATTTAAAATGGATTAGTCAACCCGATTTACAAATTTATTCCAACTCTCAACAAATTTCTCGAATTTTAGGTGGGATGAGGACTTTAATTATTTCTACGTCTCAGGAATAATGACAAATCGAGAGGCTCGACTAGAAGGAATCGATGGTAATCTTTTGTGTTATATATGGTAAATAGAGAGACAAATGGAGAGGCTTTTGTGTTATATATGATAATTTTTTTTAATATACAAATTAGATTCAAGACTTACTATTTGTAATTGTAAAAAGAGAAAAGAAAAGGAGCGAGTTGTTTCATGTCTGCAATGAAATTCCGATTCAACCATCCCAATTTTTTTGAAGCTTTTTTCTTTCCCATTTGAAGTCCCTTTTAGCATCTCACAAGGAATTTCTCATGCATCATTTTACTATATTCCTGAACTTCATATGCTTTTGTCATACGTGCATGAAAAGAATACTCTATTTTGATTATCATGATTAACGGATAAACAATGATCTTGTGCCTAAGAAAATAGTAAACTAACCCTCCTCCATGATTTTACACCTTTAGCTATTTGAAAATTTCTGTATAGGCCTTTTCAAAATGAACTTCTCATTTTCACGGCAACGTTTTTAAACCTGGATGAGTAATTTTTTGTTCACAGTTCAACCATTCAAGTTAAAAGTTCAACTTTTTTTCATGTATATAAGAAATAAAAATTCCGATTAAAAATTCAAGAAAAAGGAGAAATTTTACTAACAAACAAGTTCAGAAGTCCACATTTTACTGATTTTTACCATTCAACCATTCTTTGACCAATTTTTTTGGTTTCTTCCAAGAAACAAAATTTCTTTTTGTCTTGTTCAAGTTTTAAATGAAACCAAACCAACACCATGACCTCTTTGCAATTCAACTGGTTGAACCGATCTATTAATCCAATTTTCAAAACACTATCCCCAAATTGCCTTCATTGGAGGAAATTTCTACAGAATTAAGTCTTTATCCAATTAGGCTGTCCCCAGGCTACAGCTCAAAATTATTGATAACATCAGGAGCAACTACTACGTATACGTATCTTTTTTGGTTTTTTTTTGTTTTTTTTTTGGGGGGGGGGGGGGCGGGGGGGAGGCTGCAAATGGACACTGATAAAAACGACTTCTGACTAATAGTCACCTACCCTGTATTCAGTTCTAAGCGGTATCTGTGATTTCAATGTACATATTTGGAAGAAATGAAGCAAATCGATCAACTTTTTCCATTAGCTTCCGGCAGCAAGAAATATATTTCCCCTGAAGCTATCAAGCTAATCAATAAAACTGTTGAAGAGAGCATGGAGCTAATCATCAATAAGCATTCAAGGACCTATATCCTTCAAGCTTCCTGTTCCATTGCTTCCCTTGTACAAAAGGCTACTATAAACTTCTACATTACAAAATTCTAAACCCAACTATAACAACAAGGTCAAAAATAAACTAGCTCTATGTATGTTAAAAAGGGAAAACTATTGCAGCTGTTAATCTATTTTGCCATTTGATATTTGAAATCTTCATTGGTTGGATTCTTCACTTGATACTTCAGTGTTGCATATTGGGCATGTCTGGCAAAACCAACAAGATACATACATGTATTAGCAAACAAATATCAGACTTTAAGGCGAACTCTGCTCAAAAATATTTACCATACCTTGTTAATTCTGAGCCATTTCGATCCACAATGAGCATGGTATACATGTTTGCATGGCAAATTTATTTGCCGGTCCCCTCTTTTGTACCTCATTTGGCAGATGACACATCTGGGTCGCAAAAATTTTAAAAAAAAAATGACAACCAATTAAATTATTAGACGAAAAAAATTGAAGCAGCAACCAAAATGAGTGAACCTGACCTAGATGTGTGTGTGTGGGTGTGTGTGTGTGTGACAGAGAGAGAGAGAGAGAGAGGAGCAGAGAATGATAGAAACCTTCTAATTTTGTTCATTCATGATCTTTCACTATTCTTTATGTTTTCTTTCTTCTTTCAGAACTTGACAAGGGCCAACACATTTAGATATAAAAGAAAGGGCAGCCCCATAATAGATCTCTATTACTCTTTCCTAGCAGGTACTTAGTCTTACAGAAAACACAAGTAAAAGAGTGACACAGGCTCGGTAGCCTCAGCTAGAAACTAACAAAAAAATACCGAGGCACCTGCTACCGTTTACAAAGGAAATGAAGCAGAAATGCTGGATTCTGGTATCACATTGAATGCAGCAGTATCATACATTATCAGGTATTTGTGATACTGGGGACTCTGTATATTTTCCAAAGAGTAGATAAGGTTAGGTAACTGATTTCCTTGTTGGGGTCAAGAAACCCATTCTTGATTTATTTGCTCAAATCTTGAAATGCATTCTTGAAAACAATCATGGAACTGCATTAATATCAACTAGTGTTACTTATCATTTTCACAAGCCATTGCTTTGTCAGTGATCAGCTGGTGAGCACATAATGGGTATCATAATTGATCACCCTGCATAGGCAAGGCATAACAACAGGGAAACCTGATCCGCAGGGCTTCTGCCTAATGCAGTTGAGAATGCTTAGGTGGAGGCTACATTACTGCAGCAAGCAGAACTGCTCTTTCCAAGGGTTATTGTATGCACTAGACTGGGTACCATACGAATCTTACAAAGAACTTCTCAAATGTTTATTTCACAGCTAAACATAATTTCTTGTGGATAGAGTGATTTTTGACCACATTTGAATGATATGTGACAAAAGTAACCAATGTAAACAGGTACAGATAGAGAGAAAGGCAGAGTGTCAGAAAGGATAGAGGCTAACAGCTGTGGCTCACCAGCAAGAAGAAAGCACAGTGGCACATTCAACGTGAAATACATCTTAGTAAGAATATACCTCTCAGTAGATCTTTTTTTGGAGAAAATTCCCCCAGATTTGTACTTTGAGGTCGGAAGTAAATCAATAAGTTCTTGTGAAAGTCCCCGGTTTTCAGTCCCCACTGCTTCGCCCAACTCAAGTAATTCCTAAAAATAATATCATAATTAGATTTCATCTCCAAACAGTTTGTCTAGTCATTCTTAACATTTGCTTGTAAGAATCTGTACACCGAGACGAGATATCAGGTGTTTTACTTAATCTGTCTAAAGGGAATAAATATAGCAAATTCCTCATTTTGTGTAATCATACACTTGTAAAATTTACTCACCCTGCTGTTGCTAATGCAGCTACACCAAATACTGAACTCTTATTTTGCTATTCTAGTGCCAGAAGCTAGAGAAATGAAAATGAAGACCATTTTGGATGTTCAACAACATAGTCAGCAAAAAGCCATGAATAGAACTTGGAATTATGGAGTCAGTTACCAGAACGGCAACAGTTAGAGAAGCACAATGAAGAAGTCCTTTCTTTTATTCCTTGTGAATTTAGTTTAAGAGTTTGGGACTTAAAACCCACATGGCAGAATACATAAAAGAAGATTGATATTCACGTCAAGCACGTCTTTCTTTGGTTACGAAAACTGGTCAACTGGTTGAACTCTGGAGAGAAGATTTTGTTCTTTTAATTGATTTTCCAATAATGTGACTTCGAGAAATGAAGTTTGCATAAACATTCACCAAAGTTCATGGCAATCACCAGCCAAAAATCTTTTTGATGCAGCATTTCGCACTAAAACAGTCTAATAACAGTCTTATCCACTGAACAGGGCATAAGAGAAGCCTCATACTTGCTGATTGAATTTCAACCATTATAGGTTCTAATAAGAACACAGGTCATTGTAGCACATAAAGAATATAAGTTTACAAAATGCAAAAACTTCAAACATTTGTACCTCATAAGTCATGTTGTCAGGATCAATATTATCTTCCCAAACAGCCTGCAACAGTGTAGGAAAAAGAAAGTACAAATCAGTATCTTCCTCACAGCCAAGCAAAATAATATTTCCTATTCGTAAGTGATAAGCTGAGAATTATGAAGAGATAAAGAAGTATATAATCGATTTACATACCTGAGTACCACCAGAATCTTGCTGATTAATGTTGTCTGCAGAGGTTTGAGCTGTGCAAAGGATAGAAAATGAGAATGCTAAGTATGAACAACTCATCGAAGATAAGGTCAGAATTGCATTACCAAGCAACAAAAACTTGTAATGAAACTGAAAAGAGATCTACCTCAACAAAGGAAGTAACACCCTTAAGACCAAGAAACGTAGAAAGTCAACATGATATTTTCCCCGTTTTCATTTGTTTAAACTGTAAGGGCCAAACAACAGAACAAAATCTGGAACTCACATTCTTCTGGGATGGCCTCCATACTGGGCGTTGGGTTTGCCTCCATACTGGGGGCTTGGATCTCTTCCGAAGGCATTTCTACAACTGGCGGTTCTTGTATATTCATAACAGAAGGATAATCCCATGGTCTCCGGTTGTAGTCCATCCTCATAAAGTCATCATTTACAATGTAAGGGCTATAATAGGGAGCATTTTCTGGGCCAGATAACCCAAATCTGTAAGAATTCATATTCATTGACCAATATGCAGATTCCTGCAAATAAAACACCAATGAAACACATTCACCATCACAAAGGAAACTTACACATTCCCATCCATCTCAAATGCTCGGCAGTGTTTAAGCAAAGACAATAAACAGTAAAATTTTCAAAAAGTAATACAATCAATCGTGCAAGTGCAGTATACAAATTGACAATTTATTTTGCATCAATTGCCCCTTTCTCATATGAAAAAACCATATAAAAGTGAAACCAAGACTCTTTCCTCTCAAAATTATACTTTGGAGTCAATGGCATCCTGACACATTTGCACTAACAAACTGCAGATAGCTACATATATCTCATTGTAATGAACAAGTACGGAACAAACTAGGTCAAATTTTTTATAAGAAAAAGAAATGAAATGTAACAATGAGACAGCATAACACGTATCCCACTTGTTACACTAGAGCTGAGCATTCATTAGCTTGACCATAAAACATTGAAGCAGAGCCAGGCATCATAGTTTAACAGCTTTACATCTTTCAAGCAATTCAGGTAAATGATATCCAACTAACAAGCAGAAATATATGGACATGTAATAGTGAAGTAGTATATCCTCAGAATCCCACCACTAAGGAAACGATTATGAGCATTGATATGTATATAGCTTTCATAAAAGATCTGATAGGACAACCTAAACTAGGAAAACAACATTCTTTTCTGTTTTAGAGCAGAACAACATTTAGTTATTATTCTTAAGCACTGCGCATCACTATTTCATGAAATTACAGTTGGGCCCTGAAAAAAAGAAGGAAAGGAAAAAATTGCAAAAAAAGGAAAGGAAATTGCAGTGCCCCCCAAAAAGGAAAGGAAAGGAAATTGCAAACAGAAATTGCAAAAAATTTGGGCCCTGAAAAAAAAGGAAAGGAAAAGATTACCTGATGATCATGAGGCATTGGTGGAGGAGGGTGAACATAAGGTAAAGGGGCTTGTGGAAGACCTCCAAAAAAGTCCACAAAACTGTCTGAAGCATTATAAGGATAGCCAAAAGTATTCATGTAATGCACCTCCATTTGATGATTTCCATCCATTTCTTTGACTGCTGATCTCAATTACCCAAAACAGCTGCAAAATGAACAATTCAGTATATCCTCTTAAACACAGAACCAAAAAAAAAAAAAGGAAAGCTAAAAACCCAGAAAATCCCCCATTACATTTCAAAAAAACTGAAAAAAAAAAGAAGCAAAGAGCAACAACTCTGAGTCTAGAATCTTTAAAGAGTATTTAAACTTCAAGAAAATTCTGCATCGTTCTTGTTTCCTTAGAAACCCCTGCATCTTCCTACTTTCAGAACTAATCTAACAAACAACCAAAAAATAAAGCATGTCTTCATTTCATAAACCCTTTTATTTTCTTTCTTTCCTCTGTCAAATTCATCCCATTATATCAATATAATAAATTAAAGGAAAAAAAAACTCAATTTTCTAATAGCCCAAGATTGGCCTGAATGGTAAACTCAAATTTCAAAAAGGTCATTGTTTTACAAATTGTAGCAAGCGAAAAAAAATAAACAAAAAAAAACAGGGGACTTCTAGAATAATGGGCAGTCGTACAAAAGAACCTACCAACAGCAACAACAACAAAACTAAAATACTCCATTACATACTCGAAATATGCAACTAAATTATGTAAAAATGAGAAAAAGAAGTACTGGGATTTACAAGAAGATATCTCAAAATGTGAACAACATAGACTGGGATTTACAAGGAGAATTATATACAAGTATGAGAGACAGAGGATGAAGCTATGGAAGAAGAAAACGGACACTTTGAGGATGAGTACGGAGGCGAGAATGGGGACAAAAGGGAGAAACGGAGGTATGCTTCACTTTGTTGTGTTCGTTGCTTTTTGGCTGTGAGCTAGTTGGAAGAAGAGGAAACCGTAGACGTCAGTAATGGCAGTGTCTGTATCTCTAATCTGTCTCATCTCATCTCATCTCATCTCATCATTTCTCTCTCCACTGTTGGGACTGTGGAATGTGGGGAGAGAAAGAGAGAGACTGTGTGAGTGTGTGCGGAGAGGCTCAGTGGCTTATGTCGGACTTGAGACACACGCTAGCTTTTGAAGCATGAAGTACTAAACGCAGATTTAGATAATTTTTTCTTTAAATTAGTTTGTGCGCGTTGTGCGGAGTGTAGTGTGTGTTGGTTTGTGCATCTTCTCATGAGACATGGAGGAGCAAATTTTGAGATATGAGTATGGTTTTTCGAATTGAGAAATATGTAAAGGGAAAATCGTCCAAAACGTCCCTTATATTTTATAAAATAATTTTTTTCGTCTCTCATTTTTAAAAGTATAATTTTATGTCTCTTATATATTTACATCAGTCAAATTTAATCCCTAACTAAGTTTTCGATCTTTTTTTGGCTGGAATCCATCATGTGTAAGGCACGTGATCATTTTTTAAGGGTAAATTTGTCAAATTATATATTACATAATCTGATCTATAGTCCTCCATATTTTATAAAATAAATTTTTTCGTCCTTCACATTTTATAAAATAATTTTTTTCATCCCTCACATTTCACAAAATGAATTTCTCCATCCCTCGCATTTCAAAAAATGAATTTTTCATTTCTCACTAATTATGTGTAAATACATTTTTTTTAAACACATGTATATGTCTATTTGATTTTACTTAATAATAATAGCATAAACACATGTATGTAATTGGCCCCGACTTGTGGGCTATCTTCTCTTTTTTGTATGATTATGACTAATATTTACCAATAGAATTTTAATTTGCATATTCTTATTGTATTTTGACCGAAAATAGCTTTATTGGCCAACTTGACAATGAATGCAAGATTTTTTACTAGATAATACCAGATGAAATCAAATGATCGCATATAATATATGATATTCGTATTGTTAAGTGAAATCAAATAGACACATACATATATTTATGCTATTCATATTATTAAGTAAAATCAAATAGACATATACATGTGTTTAAACAAAATGTATTCACACACACACACACACACACACACACACATATATATATATATTTTTTAGGGTTTCCCTCACACTCATAATTAGTGAGGGATGGAAATATTCATTTTTTGAAATATGAGGGATTGAGAAATTCATTTTGTAAAATGTGAGGGATGAAAAAATCATTTTATAAAATGTGAGGGACGAAAAAATTTGTTTTATAAAATGTGGAGGACTATAGATTAGATTATGAAAAATATAATTTGACAAATTTACCCTTAAAAATGATTACATGCCCTGCACGTGATGGATTCCGGCCAAAAAATGATCGGAAACCTAGGGCCTGTTTGGAAGTCAGGTTTTTAAGCAAGTTTTTTACCTACTAGTTTTTTAACAACTTTTGCTACAGGAACCCCAAAAAACTTCTCTAAATTTTTTACCTACCCACTTCAAAATATACAAAACACAAAAAAAAAAAAAAAAATTTCCTTCCATTTTTTTTCTTCTTCCTCTCCCATCCCAACCCACCACCACCTCTCCGGGCTAGACTCCAGTTCAATTACCGCTTCCAATTCAATCTATCCATCTATCATGCTCCAGAGTTTGCTCCACTCCAATTCCACTGCTACTTCTGCTTCCAACCCCATTAATTCCGTTCCCATTCCCATTCTCCTTCCCCCCAGCAGAAACGCTCGTCCCTCCTCCAACTCCTCCTCCTCTATGCAGTCCAAGCGCTCCTCCTCTGCCCACCACGAAGACCTCTCCTTCTCAAACGCCGCAACTCCTCCCTCGGCCCCGACAACCCTTCCACCTCCGCTGATAGAACCATCGACTTAGACAACTAGGACGACGATGTTGCTGAGCTCGAAGCCGCCGCCGCAACCGCCTCCTTGGGTGGAGCAGCAGCTGGCGACACCAAGTCCTCCGGCCTCTGTCTCCTGGGCCTCCTCCTGCAATGCGCCGAGTGCGTGGCCATGAACTGTCTCGACGCGCCAGCAACCAGCAGGACCTGAGCCACGGGGGAAGCTTCTTGCGGCGGTTCGTGGAGGCGCTGCATTACTACTCGGCGCTATTCAATGTGCTGGAGGACGGAATGGGGACGGACAGTGTGGAGAGGCACACGGTGGAGCAGCAGCTGTTGGGGTGCGAAATCAGGAACATCGTGGCCGGAGGTGCTAGAGGTGGGGCCGGTGGCGGAGTAGGGGGTGGAGCAGGCTGCGTTGCTGCTGGGAGGCAGAGGTAACGGGGAAGAAGAAGAAAGAAAAGAAAAAGGAAAGAAAAAAGAAGAAAAAAAAAAAGAGAAAGAGAAAAAAAAAGAAAAGGAAAAAAAGTTTTTCCCTTACAAAAAAAATTTTCACCTTATAAAAAACTTTTACAAAATTTTTTGAAAAACTTCTACAGTGCACTATAGTAAAGTTTTAGACAAACTCCCAAAAAACTCAGGTTCCAAACAGGCCCCTAGTTAGGGACTAAATTTGACCAATATGAATATGTAAGGGACATAAAATTACACTTTTAAAAGTGAGGGATGAAAAAAGTCATTTTATAAAATATGAGGGACGTTTCGGACGATTTTCCCTTTAGAATAACACTAAACACGTTTTGTGATATGATATATATATATGAGATAGAAAAGTGATTAAAAATTATGTTTGTAATACAATTTGAATAAAACTCTATCCAAACACACTCAATGTTGGAAAAAAATTGTGAAATAAAAATGTAGCATATTTTATGATGTGGTGTATATATTTACATTGCAAGTAAAAATATAATTTTTTTATTAATTATATAACAAGACAAATTTTATGATGCAAGGTGGTTAAGCATTATTTTAAATAGAAAAACACGATAAAGATTGGAAATATATACAAAGACATGTTATTTTTTTATGGGAAAAGGCAATATGGATTGAAATGTAATTTAAATTAGATTATTTTCAATAGGAAAAGGCAAGGAAAAATTGTTCAAAACATTTCTCACATTTTATAAAATAACTTATTCGTCCCTTACTTTGAAAATTATAATTTTACTTCTCTTACAAATTCACATTGGTCAAATTTGATTCCTATCTAAGTTTTCAACTAATTTTTGGTAGAATCTACTACGTGTCTTGCACGTGATCATATTTTAGGGTCAAATTTGTCAAATAATATTTCACATAATCCTATCCATAGTGTCTCATATTTTACAACATAAATTTTTTTATCCCTCATATTTTACAAAATAAATTTTTTCATCCCTTGTTAATCATGTATATGAATAGCTTTTCTTATTTTTGAAAATTCATGTACATGTTTATTTGATTTCACTTGAATAGTATGAATAGCATATAATATATTTCTATTTGATTTCACCTACAATTAATTATAGTTGTAGGTGAAATCAAATAGGGATATATTACATACTATTTGTACTATTCAAATGAAATCAAATAAACATGTACCTAGGTTAAAAAATAGCTATTCATACACATGATTAATGAGCGACAAAAAAATTCATTTTGTGAAATGTGAGTTGTGAGGGACAAAAAAAATTCATTTTGTAAAATGTGAAGAACCATGGATTGGATTATGTGAAATATTATTTGATAATTTTGCCGTTAAAAAATTATCACATGCAAGGCAAGTGGTAAATTCCAACAAAAAACTAGTTGAAAACATGAATAGGAACCAAATTTGACTAATATGAATTTGTAAGGGACGTAAAATTATACTTTTAAAAGTGAAACATGGAAAAAAATTATTTTACAAAATGTGAGAAACGTTTTGAATGAGTTTTCCAAAAGACAATATAAATTGAAATGTAACGTATATTAGGTTGTTTTGAATCGTAAAAGATAATATAAATCGAAGTGTACCGTACATTAAATTATTTGAATCATAAAAGGCAATACACATTGAAATCTAACGTACATTAAATTATTTTGAATCATTAACGACAATATATATTGAAATGTAACGTACGCTATTTTAGTAGAAAAGGTTAAGTAGTGTAGATACATGTTATCTCTAAATGCATGATTGTGTCATCTTTAAATGTCGAGTAGTATAGATACGTGTTATCTTTAAATGCATAATTGCATCATTTAAAGATAAACAAGACGATTTAGAGAAAATTGTAATGCCCAAAATCTCAAATTTGAATACATGTTAATAGTTATTTGTCGAAAAAGAGTGTAACGCTTGAGAGCTTCTATCAAATGTGTTTGCAAAATTGAATAGTAATTAGTAACAATAAGAAAGGTTATAGAATATTTTTGAAAATTCTAAATTTTGCGAAGATTAACTAGCATTTGTAATTATTGAGATATTATCACATTCCATTAGAAATATATGTGATGGTTTATCCACCATATCAAAGAGCGCTTGGATTTAGTGATCTAATCAATGATATTGTTTTCATGGATGAATTATTTTATTAGGCAAACAAGCTTTTGAAACATGGAGCATTAAACCCCTATTTAGATAATTCTTTTAAAATTGGTTTATGCACGTTGTGTATGTTTGTTTGTGTATCTTCTCACGAGATATAGAGGAATAAATTTTGAGATATAAAGAGTATGATTCTTTTAATTAAGAAGTATATAAATATGTTTGGTTAGAACATTTTGAATACACATATTATTTCAAATATTGTTTTGTTGGTATTATAAATATATTTTTCATTCACTTTTTTATATTCTTAACTATTTTTTGTATTTCACATACATCAAATTTTGGCTAGAATCCACCACGTGTCTTGCACGTGATCATTTTTTAGGATTAGCATTGTCAAATAATATTGAGCAAATTGCGCGAAATGTCACTAAACTATTTCAAAGTGCTGGTTCTGGTCACTAAACTTTTTTATTAGCGCGAAATGTCACTGAACTAGTAAATCTGTACCGTTTTGGTCACTCCGTGTATTTGTGCCGTTAGGAGAAACGGAAATCAACTTTTTGAGGGGCAAATTCGTCTGTACAGCCTTAGTGGGAAGAGTTTCATCTGGTAAGTGAAAGGTTTAACTGTGGGGCTTTGGAATGCTGGTAAAATTTTTGGAAATGTGGACAATGACAGTGAAAAGTATCAAAATTGATCCATTCTTCTCACAGTAATCAGTGACAAGACTCAAAGAACCGGCAAAAGACGAAGATTAGCAGTGAAGAATCGGTCATCGATGATAGCGAAATGGGTGAAAAGGCAAAGGGATGAATTCATTGATCCGTACACATTATACGGTAAGAAATATTACAATCCATACACATTTCCTATGATTAATGGTGTTGTTTGTGTTTTGAGTATAAAGAAGTATTTAGTGAGAGTTTTTATTGGGTTTAGGGTTTGCTGAAGTGATCCGGTTGTTTAGAAAATGACATAAGAACGATTGACTTCCTTTTTTGTCGTATAAGTGGGTTGCAAAGGGTCCTACAAGAACCCTCTATCTTGTAATTTAATCATAAAAAATAAATTTTTCAAAATGCAGTTGTCTGATTCGGGTTAATTAACAAATGGGGGTTAAGTATTTTTATAAGAAGAACAGCATGTATGACAATAAAAAATGGTGATTAACAAGAATCATGTTGTTTGCCTTTGTTGTTGTTGTTGCAGTTCCTGATAGACCTGCATTTTCGATTAAACTCCACCACGGCGGTAAAATTGAAGGAGAGAAATACAAGAGTTATGTGGGTGGAGAGATTGATTATTTCGATCTTTGCCATGCTGATTTGATGTCGATTCATGAAATAAATAAAATGGTGGAAAGGTGTGGGCACAACGATACTATGTTATATTATTACATTGACCCTAGAGGGGATTTGAACCATGGACTGATGGAACTTCAAACGGATGAAGACATTATGCAATTCTGTGGTTGGGTTAATGAGTACAAGTTGATGGAAGTATACTGTCATCATTTAACAGTTGAGGAAATATATGAGTTGCAGAAGAAAAAGGAATTGGAACAGTTATCACAGACAAAGAGTTCAATGGTAATAGAGGAGATCTTTGATGATGGTGAAATTCTTACACAACAGGCAGCAATACCTCATAGACAACGAAAAGGAGTCCAAGCTAGTAGATCAGTTGCAGCTTTAGAGTGGACACATGACCATGCTGGTGAAGATGAAGATGCATACCAAAATTCTTCTAGGAGATGTAAGCAGGCCAACAACAATACACAGGAGTCCGAGCCACAAATGCATAGCCAAGTTGATAATGACCCAACTCCATCAAGTCAGAATAGGAGGGACAATGACAGTTCCAGGAATAGAAGAAACAGAGATAGGAGAAAATCTCGTACGTCGGAGGCCCTTTGTGGTGCTACAAAAAGAGTTAGAAAAGGAGGTGTATCAAATAATGGTACTGCAACTGAAGGTGCATCAAATGGAGGTGCAGCAGGTCAAGGTGCATCAAATGGAGGTGCAGTAGGTGAAGGTGCAACAAATGAAGGAGCAGCAACTGAACCTGTAACAGAAACTGGGGCAGCAACTGAAGCTGAAGCATGTGAAAATAGAGAAGGTGCAGCAACTGAAGCTGAAACAGAAGCTGGTCCTGAAACTGAAGCTGAAGCATGTGAAAATAGAGCGGAACACAACCCACTATTGGATGATATTGTGGAAGGGGAATTAAATAGTGATCCAGATTCAGAAGATGAAGATGTTCCTGTGAGATACACTAGTTTCAATGCTAGCAGAGATGGAACAGATCCCCATTTTCATGTTGGGCAAAAATTTGGAACCAAAAAATAGTTCAGAGATGCTCTCAGAAATTATGCAATTATAAGTGGAAGACCTGTATACATGTATACAAGTGACAAAACAAGAATGAGAGCTAAATGTGCAGATCCGTGTAAGTGGTACATTTATGCTAGCCACGTTCCTGCTTTGGGTACTGAAGACTTTGTAGTTAAAACAATTTACGATGTCCACACCAATTGCAGCCATGCTTGGAGAAACAAAAACATGACATCCAATTGGGTAGCCGACAAGTTTGAAGAGTCTGTTAGATCCAACATGAACATGCCTGTTAGGCAATTGTTACAGAGCATAGATGAGCAATATAGTTGCGAGATCACAAGAAACAAAGGTTACAAAGCACTTGCAATGGCTAAGGCTGCTATCAAAGGGTCAGCATCTCAGCAGTATATTGATGTTGGGAGGTACACATCAGAACTACAAAAAACTCACCCTGACACCACTATAGACATCAAGTATTCACCAAGAGCTGATCCTGAAAGTAATCCCAGATTCATGAGATTTTACTGCTGTCTGGGACCATTGAAAAAGGGATTTAGAGAGGGATGTAGGCCCCTTATTGCTCTTGATGGCTGTCACACTAAGGGGGCATATCCAGGGCAGTTGTTGACTGCTATTGGGGCAGATCCAAATAATGGTTGGTGGCCATTAGCTTGGACAGTTGTTGAGAAGGAGGCTCGGGAACAATGGCTTTGGTTTTTGAATTTACTGATTGGTGATCTAGAAATACCAGCAACTAGTAGTGAATACACTTTTATTTCAGACCAACAGAAGGTTAGGAGTACTGCTCTTTATCCTTATAGCATGTATTGTATAGGATAATTTTTGTAAGTGACTAAACTTAGAACTCTTTTATAGGGTCTTGATAGTGCACTGCTGGAGTTATTACCAGAAGTTGGCCATAGATATTGTGTACAGCATATGTACAGAAATTTCAAGAAAAAGCACCCTGGTGAAGTGTTTAAAGAAAAATTCTGGAGCATTGCAGTAGCATCAACAGTAGAGTTCTATGAGGCAGCGTTGGAAGAGCTTAGAGCATATGACCAGCAAGCTCACGCGTGGGTCAAGAGAGCTGCACCACCTCATCACTGGTGTAAGGCTTTTTTTTCACTTCACATGAAATCTGACATGCTGGTTAATAATTTATCAAAGACATTTAATTCTCATATATTAAATGCTAGAGAGTTGCCAGTGATTGGGATGGTTGAGTGGATTAGACAATTCATAATGGAAAGGATATCAAATAGGGTGTATTGGATGAGAAAATATAGTGGTCCTGTGGGACCAGCAATAAAGGCTTTGATTGAGGAGAGGGAAAAGTTTTCTAGGAAGTGGAAGTCAATATCAAATGGAAAAGGGGGATATCAGGTTAGGGGACCTAAGGGGGAACAATTTGCTGTGTACTTAAGAGACAGAACCTGTACATGCAGGTTGTGGCAAATTAGTGGGCTCCCCTGCTGCCATGCAATTTTTGCCATTTTAAAAATTGGTAGGAACTCAAATGACTATGCCGATCAGTGTTATAGTAGAGATCTATTCTTTCAAATATATGAGAATGTACTATATCCAATTAGTGGAAAGTCTCTATGGTCTCAGAGTGATATTCCCATATTAGATCCTCCACTTGCATGCGTCCAACCTGGTAGGCCCAAGAAAGCAAGAAGAAAAGATAGTTCTGAAAATAGAAGTGGTGTTCATGTGCGAACGAATAATGTGCAAAAATTAAGAAAGCATGTGATCATGCACTGTAGAAGATGTGGTCAGGCAGGCCACAATGCTGCTACCTGCAAAAGTGTTCCAGAAAATAATGGAGGTGAAGGCTGCAGTCAACCTGCTCCAGCTCCTAAACATGCTAGAAAGTCAAAAGGCACCAACAATGGCTCAAGCACAGCACATGGAGCTAATTCTCAGGAGCCTGATTTTGCTCATGTGGAAGTTCAAGGATATTCTTCAAGTTGTGTCAATTCTCAGCCACATGGAGCTGAAGAGCAAACTACTTCCCATAATGACACTAGTTCACATGCTGAACGTAATGCACAAGCTGCCACTAGTAGTACGAAAAAGCAGCAGATTAGAAAGACTAAGACACCTGTAGGTGTAAATTTTATTTCTAATTTTATTTTTAATTTTACTATGGTAAATAGCTATTGTTAATATTTATTGTACTTGTGTACAGGTGAGGAGAGTTAGGCCTGTCAATGATACCGACCAGTCTACTACAGCGGCCAACAAACAGTCTCTTCATTCAAAAAGAAAGCTGTCTGAAATTGACAAGATAAGGATCAACACCAACTATGAGTACTTGGGCAAAGAGCCTCCATTCAAGATTGGTAGATGGGCTGGAACATCAAGGAGCAGTAGAAGTGGAAGTGGAAGATCAGATTAAAGGACTTGTTTGCATAGCTTTTGTTTGGATGTATTCTATGTCTAGGACAATTCCAGATTATTTATATGTGAAACATGGCTAACTTTGTTGGCAGTTGTTTGGAATGACAGTGACAATTATCTCTTTTGTAAAGCAGCTGTTTGGAATGATAGTGATAATTATCTCTTTTGTTGTATTTGGCTTTATGTTTTCTGCATTTGTGACAATTATCTCTTTTGTAAAGCAGCTGTTTGGAATGATAGTGATAATTATCTCTTTTGTTGTATTTGGCTTTATGTTTTCTACATTTGTGAGTTACTTTTCTTTTGCACCACCCATATGTTGGAACTAATACTTCAGTCTTTTATTCATAAATTATAATTTCAAACATCCATGGTGTAAACAACACCAACCAAAATTGCGAGGTATATAAAAACACTACAACCTCAACAAAAACGAGCTGTGTATTAAAACATTTGACAACACTGATTTAGGATTTGGAGTACAACAATACTCTAGTAGCCATCAATTTGCAGCCTTCCAAACTTCTGTCCCTTGTTAGGCCCCCAAATCCACATTGATGCATTAACAATTGTCCAGGCTATAACAAAAAGAACAATGACCATTTTTTCACATTCTTTCTTCCAAGCTTCTCCTTCAAATTTTTTACTTTATCCTCCATTTTCTCAGTTTTCTTTTGCAACTTGAGAATTTGTTGCCGCAAAGTTTCATTCTCGGTTTCCACCCTATTTATTCTTCTTAAAAGACCGGGTATGACTTGTTTCAAACGCTCACACATTTCTTCATCATACCAATTCCAATAACCACAGCCATCAACCTACAAAAAAATTATCCAAATTCTTTTTAGCCGATAAATGTCTAAACAATTAAACATTAACCTAATTTAACGAATTTCCTATATCTTCACACACTTACCTTGCCATTAGCACATTCAACATATCTCCTTGCTGGGTTCCTATCAGTCCATGAAGTCTTCAAATTGGTTTTACTGCCACAAGAGCAGGTCGGAGTTGTTTCCTTGCCTTTTCCTCTCATGAAGCTTCAACACATTCCCAGCAAATTGCAAATCGAAGTTCTTTTCTTAGGTATTCCTCCAATGAAGCTTCAACACATTCCCAGCAAATTGCAACTTCGTATATTGTCCCTCCTACTCCATATTTGCAGAAGAAATCTATTACAGGATAAGGGTTTGCACTTCCTAATTGAACTTACGAGTTGTCTGACATTTGAGAGTGATTTATGGTAGAGAGTTTCAAGGAAAAGGCTGTGCAGATGAATTTGCCCCTCAAAAAGTTGATTTTCGTCTGTCCTGGCGGCACAAATACACGGAGTGACCAAAACGGTACAGATTTACTAGTTCAGTGACATTTCGCGCTAATAAAAAAGTTTAGTGACCAGAACCGGCACTTTGAAATAGTTTAGTGACATTTCGCGCAATTTGCTCAATAATATTTCACATAATCCTATCCGTAGTCCCTCACATTTTATAAAATAAATTTTTTCGTCTCTCACATTTCACAAAATGAATTTTTTTTCATCCCTTGTTCATCATGTGTTTGAATACTTTTTTCTTATTTTTAAAAATTCATGTACATGTTTATTTGATTTTACTTGAATAGTATGTATATCATATAACATATTTCTATTTGATTTCACCTAAATAAGCTAATTGTAGTTGTAGGTGAAATCAAATAGAAATATATATTAAATGCTATTTGTATTATTCAGGTGAAATCAAATAAACATATATATGGGATGTAAAAAAACCTATTCATACACATGATTAATGAAGGATGAAAAAATTTAGTTTGTAAAATATGATAGACAAAAAAAAATTATTTTATTAAATGTGAAGAACTATGGATCAGATTATGTGAACTATTATTTGACAATTTTGCCCCTAAAAATGATCATGTGTAAGGCACGTGATGGATTCCAACTAAAAACTAATCAGAAACCTAGATAGGAAACAAATTTGACTAATGTGAATTTATAAGGGACGTAAAATTATACTTTTAAAAGTAAGGCATATAAAAAGTCATTTTACAAAATATGAGATACATTTTGAATGATTTTTTTTTTTCAAAAGACAATGTAAATTAAAATATAACATACACTAGGTGATTTTGAATCACAAAAGATAATATAGATTGAAGTGTAACGTACATTAAATTATTTGAATCATAAAAGACAATAATAGATTGAAATATAACGTACACTAAGTTATTTTGAATCATTGAAGACAATATAAATTGAATTGTAACGTATGATATTTTAGTAGAAAATGTTGAGTAGTGTAGATACGCATTTTCTTTAAAATGTTGAGTAGTATAGATATGTGTTATCTTTAAATGCATGATTGCATCATTTAAAGATAAAAAAAGATGATTTAATGAAAATTAAAATGCCTAAAATCTCAAATTTGAATACATTTTAACGGTTATTTGTCAAAAAAGAGTGTAAGGCTTGGGAGCTTCTATCAAATGTGTTAGCAAAATTGAATAGTAATTTGTAACAATAAGAAAGGTTATAGAATATTTAAAAAATTCTAAAATTTGCGAAGATTAACTAGCTTTTGTAATTATTGAGATCTTATCACATTCTATTAGAAACATATAAGACAACTGAATTTCATGATCTACTCAATGATATTGTTTTCATGGATGAATTAGTTTATTAGGTAAACAAGCTTTTGAAACATGAAGCATTAAACTTAGATTTAGATAATTCTTTTAAAATTAGTTTATGCACATTGTGTATGTTTGTTTGTGTATCTTCTCATGAGATATAGAGGAATGAATTTTGTGATATAAGGAGTATGATTTTCTGAATTGAGAAGTATATGAATGTGTTTGGCTAGAACATTTTTTAAACACATGTTATTTCTAATATTGTTTTGTTTGTATCATAAATACATTTTTCAATCCCTTTTTTATATTCTTAACTATTTTTTTGCCTCACATGCATCACATCACAAAATTTGCTATATTAATTATTTCAAATAATATAGTAAGCGTGTTTGGATAGGAGATAATTTGAAAAAAAAATTATTTAGAATAGTACTATAACACTTTTTATGATATGATATATATGAAACAGAAAGTTGATTGAAAATTATATTTATGATACAAGCTAAATAATACTCTATCCAAATACACTCAATTTATTTGGAAAAAAAATTTGAAATAAAAGTGTAGCAAATTTTATGATGTGATATATGTATATACGTTGCAACTACAAATATAATTTTTTTATTAATTATATAACTAGACAAAATTTATGATGCAAGGTGGTTAGGCATTATTGAATAGGAAAACACGATAAAGATTCGAAATATATACAACAACAAATTATTTTCTATGGGAAAAGACAATATGGGTTGAATTGTAACATAAATTAGATTATTTTTAATAGGAAAAGACAATATAAATTGAAATGTAACTTACAGTGTGTTATTTTAAATCACAAAAGACAATATAGATCAAAGTGTAACGTATATTAAATTATCTTGAATCGTAAAAGACAATATAGATTGAAATGTAATGTACACTAAGTTATTTTGAATCGATAACGATAACATAGATTGAAATGCAATGTATGCTATTTTTGTAGAAAATGTTGAGTAGTGTAGATACGCATTTTCTTTAAAAGCATGACTGCATCATTTAAAGATAAAAAAAGACAATTTAGAGAAAACTGTAATGCCTAAAATCTTAAATTTGAATACATTTTAATAGTTATTTATCGAAAAAGACACTACTAAGTGAGAGTGTAATGCTTCAGAGCTTATGTCAAATGGCTTAGCAAAATTGAATAGTTATCAGTAACAATAGGAAAGGTTGTAGAATATTTGAATAATTATAAATTTTGTGAAGATTAACTAGCTTTTGTAATTAGTGAAATATTATCACATTCCATGAGAAATGTATAAGACCATTTATCCACCATACTAAAGAGTGCTTGGATTTAGCAATGTATTCAACGACATTATTTTCGTAGATGAATTAGTTTATTAGGTTAACAAATTTTAGAATCTATTATCCATCATTTCTCTAGCTGCCTCTAACGTATTAAAGAGCTTTATTTTTCATCTCAAAATCAATTGATAATGACATGAGTCAGTGGTCTAAGATCTTATGAATGTAATTGGAATTTCTTAAGGAATAATTGTGGATATTTAATCTTAACATCTCCTCTCACACATGATTTTGACTTAAGGCAGAAGTGAGCGGAGTCCTAAAATCTTCGAACTCATTGACTTGTAAATGCAACGTACGAGTGAACAGAACCCTAAAACCCTCCAAATTAGAAAAAATGGACGGAGTAACACCTTAGAAGGCTTGGATTTGTAAACTTGAGGTATAGATGAACAGAACCCACCCTAGAAACCCTGAAGTCACAAGTAATTGATCAAATTATAGGTGAAATTGTAAGCAGGTGAGGTTGATGAACAAAACCTGTGGCCCAATTATAGTATCATGTTAAAAAAAAATTGAATTTTTATCTCAAAACTAATTGACGCTGAGCAGAGTGACTCAAAATCTGATCATTAATGTGGCTAGACTACCTTTGGTTTTAAGTTTTAACATAATGTATGAAACCCTTGAATATGTAAAGACTCGTTCCAAATTCCAATGATGGTATCTGTTTTTCTTTCTGCGCTTTCTCGCGAGCCATGTATAGTTTAATGTTGTTGAACAAGGCCAAAAGAATATTTGACATGTATAGCTTCATAAACCCAAACAAATTTATGAAAGAATGACTTGAACAGCCAAAAAGCAAATGCTATATTTATTTTATTCTCATTACATATTGCATTGAGGTTTCATAAGATCTACCATTTTGGGTTCAAATTTACATCATCTCTCTCCAACATTTGCTCAATCATTAGCGTTATGTCAAAGTTGGAATTTTAATGACTTTTCTCAAGTTAAATATAAATGAGTAAATCTTTCCTACACTGATAGTGTATACACTATCATCGTTAGATTCATGATATG